TTAATTCTACTTCCATATTCTAGGCCCTTGTTATCTTTCTCATGGACTTTTGCAATAGCTCCCTCCAGGGGACATCTGTTGTTTTTGCCTGTCCAAAACCCTTGTCTTATTTTGGAAATTGTCACCATTTACTTTTTTTGTTTTTTTTGTTTGTTACTGGGGTTCGAACTCAGGACCTTGTGCTTGCAAGGCAGGCGCTGGAACCACTGAGCTAAATCCCTGGCCCACCATTTACTTTTAAGGAACTACTTCTCCATTCCCAATAGTCCTGAGGGAACTGTTAGTCAATCAAGGTCCTTTCCACTTTCACCAAGAGGTAAATATGAGATACAAGCCAAGTCAGAAATCTGAATTTTTTTTTTGGAATCTAAATCTTGAGTGGAATGAGTCAAGACATTGTTGAGTTTCAGAGTTGCCTCATCCAACTTTAGAAAAAATAAAGGAAGAGCTATAGAAGTAAGGGAGAGGGAGATCAGAATATCACCTTTATTCTTGGCGGAGATGTTTGAGATGTGTCTTCATTGGCACACAATGGACTAATACTAGAACACCAAAATTAAACTTCTCTAACTCGTCCTAGGTAGTACTAGAACTCAGTCAGGGAGCCATCCCCTGGGACTGCATAGTGGCTGTGTCCCTGCTGCCTGCATCCCCACTTCCCAGGCTGTCCCTCTTGAGCAGGGGCAGTTCCTCCCCAGAGGGTTCCCAGAGAAGGGGGCCTAGGCGAAAGCAGCACTTCTGGTGGACAGTGTGGGGCTTGGTGGCACATACCTTAATCCCAACTACTTGGAAGGCTGAGGGAGGTTTCACTTGAAACCAGGAATTTGAGGCCAGTCTGGATAACATAGCAAGATCCTGTCTTTCAAGAAAGAGTTTTTTTTTTTTTAAAACAGGGCCTTATTATGAAGTTCCGGCTGACCTTGAACTCACTATGTAGCCCAAAATGGCCTCAAACTCGCAGCAGTCCTCCTGCCTCAGCCTCCCAAGTGCTGGGATTACAGGTGTGCACCACCACGCCTGGCCTAAGAAAGAATTATTTTTAAAGAAAATAAAAGAAAAGAATGGAGAAAAGGGGAGGGAGGGAGAAAAGGAAAAGGAGGGAAGGAGGGAGAGAGGGAGGGAGAAAAGGAAGGAAAGAAGGAAGGAAGGAAGGAAGGAAGGAAGGAAGGAAATTATTGTCCTTTCTGTGAGGGATAGGCCTTGGGAATTTTTGAGAATGTAGGAGAACAAAAGAAAGTGCTATTTGTGGGCAGAGAGAAAGAAATGTTGAGTTGAGCTCAGTTCATTCCCTGTAAACTCACTAATCAGATACTGTATGTATCATTCCTCCTCTGGAGAGTAATGTGTGGGTGAAGGGAAAAGGCAAGAGTGTCAGTCTTCAAGAGATCCCTCCATGTGGAAAAGCAGGGGGTAGGGAGTGAATGTTTCCCTCGGCAATGTTCGTGTGATCCTCATATCTAGATGACCCAAAGTAGCCCTGGTTCCTACCGTTCCTGAAGCCTGTGGTTGTACAATTGCATCTACCCAATGAGTTCCCCTCTTGCTTAATGGAATCAAAATCTGTTTCTATCACCCATGCCAAAATACCTTGTATAGGTTTCCTATTGCTGCTATAACAAGTTACCACTAAGAAAGTAGCCTAGAACAACACAAATGTATTATTATAGTTTTGGAGGTCTGAAGTCCAAAATAGGTCTCATGCAGCTCAAACTCAGTCATTGGCAAGCCATATTCCTTCTCCCCAGGGGAGAAGCTACATCTTTCCTCTGCAGCTTCACAGGCTGCCAGTGTTCCTTGTGACTGCCCTGCCCAGCAGTCCTTACTCTGACCTCTGCTTGTGTCGCCACATCTTGTCTAGTTCTTCTGCCTCCCTCTTTTCCTTATGAGGACCTTTGTGATTACACTGGGCCCACTCAGGTAATCCAGGATAATCTCTCCATCTCAGAATCCTTAATTTTTGTCATGTAAAGTGACACAATCCCAGGTTCTGGGGATTAGAATGTGGACATTTTTGAGGGGCTATTATTTCTACATACCACAAAACATTAACAGAAATACCTCTTGTCTTGTCAGAAATACCTCTTTTTCTCCTCTCTAGTCTACCATGTAAGTGATCTTTAACATAAATCTGGTCATAGACCCTGACCTAGAAACTTCCCAATTCCCCCAAACCCCACAGCACGGCTGCTATCTCCTGCTCCTCGGAGTTTGTGCCAAGCAGTCTCTCAGCTTGAAATGCTCCCTGCTCCAAAACCAAATCCTCTCCATCCTTCCAATTCCTCCTGTTACACTGTAGTTGGAACCTTTTGGGACTGTGAGCTCCACTTCTGCTACCTGACAGTGCTAGGTGCCAGCCAAACAGATCTGAGCTCAGATCTCTGCTTAGCCACAGGCTAGTCACATGACCATGGGTAAGGTCCAGTACTTAACCTCTCTGTGCCTCTATTTTTTAAATTTTTCTGATAATAAAGTAGCTACCTATATATAGACAGCTGTGAAGGTTAAATGAGATCGTGCATGTACATTGCTTAGTCCATTGGTTGGCACATAATATTCAGTAATAGGTGCACAGCAGCAGTTATTATTAAAAATTAATAGTTGGGTAACTAAATGAATGAGACACTCCTCCTCTTAGGATGTCAGTATCCTTCTTATCATCTTTTTTTTTTCTTTTTTTTGGTACCAGGGATCAAACTTGGGTCCTTGCGCTTGCGAGGCTGGCAGCAGAACCACTGCGCTAAATCCCTGGCCCATCACCTTGCTTTGACTTGCATTGACTCTGTGGGTTCTTGTCCTCTCTTTCAGAAGAATGAGACAGAAGCACTTTGGTACAAAAACAAGGCTTTTATTCTAATGCTCTAGCACAAGGGGAAAAGCTGTGGAGGACAGAAATCCCAGGTTGACCCAAAGGACAAAGACATATAGCTTTTATGGCATTGACAGGGTAGGGACCTGGTCTCTTGACATCATCACTTGTAGAGGTGCAGTTTTAGTTGTGCTTTTTGCCCTATTCTGCCTTCCCCCTGGCCCAGGACAGGGTCTCACTAGGTAGCTCAGGCTGACCTCCAACTCCCTGTGTAGACCAATCTGGTCTTGAACTCATAATCCTCCTACCTCAGGCTCCCGAGTGCTGGGTTAGCATACCTTTTCATGTAACACATGTTCATTACCATGCTAAGTTTCCACTTTAGGTGTGAATTTGTGAAAAAGTAAAAGTAACTAAGTTACTTGAACGACTATTCTACACACGCATTTGTCCTTTACTCACCTGGAATTTGTTTTAATAATAACTGCTGCTATCTCTAGACTGACAGGCCCCTCAAATTGGACCCCTGCCCAAGCAGACCTGCTACCTGCATCCACGGGAGCACAGAAATCAGCCAGCAGCCACCCTGCTGCTCTCACCACCGCCCTGTTTCTCAGCCAGCCCCAGGCCCATCACCCATGGAACTCTAAAATTTTCCACTCTCTTGCCCAGTGCCCCCTCCCTTACCTAAAATGCCCTATATCAACCACAGGCACCCTCCTCTCTGTGCCAATGGCCTTTTCTCCCTTGGCCCATCTGCACCCAGATGGCAATAAACTCATCACATGTTGCTTAGACTCTGCCTGCCTCAGCAGTCTCAATCATGCCTCGGTCTGACCTTACATAGACCTCATCTTACTTTCTAGAAAATAGGCATAACAGTCCCTGCTTCATTCTATGGTCCAACAACATCGAGCAGACATCTTATAAAAGTTCATTGTGGAGATGAGAAATGAATGTTACTTCTGTGAGGTAAAGTAGAAGAGACTACAGCAGAAGTGTTAGCAAATTCATCACTAGGATATAGAAATAACTGGTGTGAGCCTGTGAGGAAACATAATGGTTTCCTAATCACACTCTCATGTAAGGTCCCAAAGGGGCTTGAAGCTTTCACACACCAAAAAGCTGTAGAAATCATTTCCCTGTTCAAGAGACAGTCATCTCTCTTGAGAGGAAAAAAAAAATTCTTTTTCCTGAATTAAAAAGTTTATTTTTGGGGCCGGGGATTTAGCTCAGTGGTTCCGCTTCCCTGGCAAGAGCAAGGACTGGAGTTCGATCTCCGGTACCAAAAAAAAAGTTATTTTTCTTATAAGGGCATTGTTTGTGTAATATAGAATTACAGAACTTTAAAAAAAATCTGAAAGTGTACAAAGTGGACACACCCTTCTAACCACTCTACTGAAGTCTCCAGTTGTAACCATCAAACAAAATTGGGATTTGTTGTAACTGCAATTTTGTATCCTGCTAGTGAACACTTTCGCACATTTTAAACAGTCATACAATAGGTGAATTCTAGTATGCAATTTTGTTGCAATTTACTTAACCAGTCTGTTACTGGTTAAGTTCAACATTTAGACTGTTGCCATTATTTTTTGGTCTGGGACTTGGGGTGGTATAGATGTGGCAACTGACTTCTACGTAACACAAATCTTTACACATATCCTTGATTATGTCCTTCCTTTGAATTTCTAGAAGTAGAATTTTAGACCAAAGGTTATGTGATACATATTGTCAATTTGTTTTCTTGCTTGCTTGCTTGCTTTTTGAGACAGGGTCTTGCTACATAGCTCAGACTGGCCTCGAACTCACAGAGAACCTCCTGCTTCCTATGGGCTGGGATTACAGGCATGCACCAGCACAGCTGGCGCCAATTTGTTTTCTAAGAGTTAGTTTAACCATTTACACTCCCGCGGGCAATTTCATAGGATGTAAACGGAGTTGCAGGTGTCACTGTCAACGGCCGAACTAGAACTTCCCGCGCGGCCTCTGGTCTTCCTTCACGTTTTCCCGCCCACTCTACACACCAGCCCAGAGCGCCAAGAGCACCCCGCCCAGCTCAGTATGATGGCCCGCCCCTTCCTTACTCCGTACCTACTCTGTCCAATCACAAGTAGTCTTCCTCAGTATCGCTTTAGGATTGGTAAGTTGAATTGTCCGTCGCACTCAGGGGCGGGCAGAGAAAGCTGACAGACGCGGCGACCGGCCACTGTGAGCAGCGAGTGTGGCCTGGGTGGCCTGCGTGGCGCGCAGGTCTAGAAGCGCTGGAGCTGGGAGGTGTGCAGGGGCTTGTGGTGAGAGTTTGGCGGACATGGCTCCTACCGCAACGGCAGCGGAGTCCGAGTATCCTAACGGCATCCGGGCCGTGCTGCTAGGGCCTCCCGGGGCTGGTAAAGGTACCCAGGTGAGCGTCCAGACTCCGCTCGGCGGCAGAGCCCGCGAAACTCCAAGGTCAGGGCGGACGGAGATCCGGAAGCCCTTTCCTTGTCCAGGGGCAGGCAGTGGGCTGAGTCCGAGGGGACACTGGCCAGGATCTCAGATTCCTAGTAAAGTATTTAGAGAAGGGTCCAAATTGGAGATCAGGGAGCAGGGTGGGCACAGGGGAAGTTCGGATTGTTTGGAGTACTTAGGGATCCAGGCTTGAAGTGTCTTGTTAAAGGATCTCAAGACTGTTAGGTGGCCTATTAGGGTTAAAGGTCGAAAAGTTTGAGGGCGAAATGAGCCCGAGTCTGAGGCTCTGGGTTACAGGCTGAATGGAGGAAGAAGGTTGATGGCCCAGTTTCCCTGCGAGTTGGGAATGAATTGACCCAGGGTTGTGTTCCAGGCACTAGGGGCAGAACTTTTTTGATAATGATTAATGACTGGGGAAGGAAGAGGATCTCCTCGTGGGGCAGAGTGGGAGCTAGTGTGTGCTGACTTGGTGTACTACCAAGAGGAGTGAACTCTGACCTGTGTGAGACACTTAAATCCGGGTGGGAGAAAACCTAAGGCCCTCCGTGTTCATCTGAAAACTGGAAGTGGATGTATGGATCTATCTGGTTTGCTGCTTCTGGAGCCTTGTGGGTTCTGAGTCTGCACCTTTGAGTAGTACAGTGCCCAAATTAAAGATTAAAAATATGTATAGGGTCTCTCCTTCCAGTTGGAATCTGAGGTCGCTGAAAGCCGAACACCTCAAGATGATTTAAATGATTTTAGATGAGAGAGAACTTGAACTTTTAACTTCCTGAATTAACAGGTAAGAAGACAGGCCCAGAAAAGTCAAGTGGCTTTTCTGAGTTAATGAAATTGATTTCACAGGGCCTGGAAGGAACCTTGGGAACCTTAGACTTCCAGAAGAATGGAGTCTGAAATTGCCTTCTGCCCTGGCAGACTGCAAGTCCTCCCTTGGCCCCTGAGCCCTTTCCAGATCTGGAACATAATAGGGCCATGGGTCAGGGTTTGGATTTATGATCTGATTTAGGATTTGGAAGCCCATAGTTGGGTTATTAATGTCCCCTCCTGCCTGGAGGTTAGCCTTACCTCCTAGGCCCTAGGGCTTGGGCTCTTGTTCATCATTAGGCTTTAAAGAGGGAATTCCTGAGTCTGGGCTTCTCAGTGAATGGAAAGTGCTCTGTACCCACTCTTCCTAGCGCTTGTCAGCATGTTACTTGGCACTTGATGAGGTTATTGGAAATGGGTGAATGACACATAGATTAATGTGGGTGTTGAGGAGAAGGGAAGTCTGAAAGTCTTGGTTCATTTCTGTAAGTTTGCTTTCTGGCTCTGTGTACTAGATCAGGAAAGACCACTTTCCATTTTCTCTCCATAAACTGAGCTGATTCTTCTTGGCTCCTCCAGTACCCTTTATACGCAGTGGTGTTGACATCACCTCTTTCCTTTCGCTGCCACCTTCAGTTATTAGCTAATGTGCAGCCTAGGGATATTTTAAGACTTTGCAGGCTTTTGCTGTGAGTGACTAAGTATAAACAGGAGAGCTCACATATGTCTATTTTTTTTCCCTTTGCTTATATTGAAGTTAATAGATTTAGTAGATGTGAAATGGACATTGTAGACAACCCATCCCAAAGCTAAGACAAAGGAGGGCCAGGGATTTAGCTCAGTGGTTCTGGCGCCTGCCCTGAAAGTGCAAGGTCCCGAGTTCAATCGCCAGAACCAAAAAAAAAAAAAGAACCAAAGCTAAGACAAGGGCTTTTTAGTCTGGCAAACTATGTAACTTCTGATCCTCAATGTTCCCACTTGAAAAATGAAAAGTTCACAAGAATACTTGAAGATTACATTCTACATAGGTTTAAAGCATCCATGCATACCTAAATAACAGCCTGGCAGAATGGGTGCTCAGTGAATATTTTCCTCCTTATGTTAGTCAGCACATCTTCCCTCTCCCAACTCTGATAATTTTAGTGTAAACTGATTTACTCAAAAGTCTTGAAGAAAATTATGAACTGATTGATAAGGGTGCATGAATAATGGGAGTTGGTCAGAGAAGGTTTGGTAAAGTGGAAGATGTGATTAGAGCTAGGACTTGAGGAAAGGTAAAAGTACACAAATCATTTGACCTTTATACACTTCCCTTTCCATAGTGAGAACAGAGGAATACTGGTGATTGTATGAGTATTTATTTTTATGGAGTTGGAAAAAAGAACGTTAAATCACAGGTTGCAAAGTGGCAGCCTACTGCAGCATTTAGCCTGCAGACACACCCACACACCTAAACTTTTTATTAGGAGGAGGTCCCTTCCCCCAAGTACTGAGGATTGAACCCAGGGCCTTGTTCACGCTAGGCAAGCAATGTACCTCTGAGCTGCATCTCCTGTCCTTTTTTAAAATTTTATTTTAAGGGAGTAGGGGTGGTGGCACACACCTGTAACCCCAGCACTCAGGAGGCTGAGCCAAGAGGATCGCTGTGCAACCTGGGCTACATAATGAGTTCAAGGCCAGCCTGAACTACATAGACCCTATCTCAAAAAATAAATAAAGAAATTTTATTTTGAGACAGGGTCTTACTGAGTTGCCCAGGTTGACTTCAAACTTGTGATCCCCCTGCCTCAGCCTCCAGAGTAGTGAGAATTACAGGTGTGCACCACCATGGCCAGCTTTATTATGAAGAGTTTTGAATACACAAAAGACTGAATGGTATAATGAGCATCACTAACCATCAACTGAATTACTTTTTTGAAAAATAAGTATAATATCCCCTAAAATATTAACAATTTTTAATAGCCAATAGTGTTTACATTTCCAGTTGTCTCACAAATGTGATGATGGTTTTAAGTTCCTTTTTTTATCATACAGATTTTTGAAAGAAAGTTGTTTATTTGTTCTGAGAGTATTATCCCCCATGCTTGGAATTTTCAGTTGTATCCTTGTGGAGTATTTAACATCTTAGTCTTCTCTGTTTTCTGTAAGTACTTAGTTTGGTCCATACCCTTAATGAGATTCAATGGAGCCAAAGTTCCATTGTCCATTAAGAGGCACCTAATGTCTACTTGCCTCTGGAGTGTCTGTATTCAGTGCTAGGACCAGTAATTCGTTGTGGGTGACAAAATGGTGAATTCCATCATTTCCCTTTTCATTTCTTGGTGAAATATTTCTATAAAGAGAAACTTCCCCTCCTCTACTTGCTTATCCAGTAATATGATTTATCTGGACAAGACAAGACAAACACTTGGTTTGTCAGCTTTCATAATAGTAAGTGTATTGTAGAGTTTTTCAGTTGTGAAATTTCTCTTAAAAATTCAGAAATTTCTCCAGTTCCTCTTGAGAAATCAGATCTGGTGGCAGTGGGCCTCCACGCCAATATGTCAGTAGTCACTTGCGACTCAGTGGTGGTGTTACTTGGGGTGGTCCGCGTGCCCTCCTGACCCCTGCACAGCCCCCTTCACTGCCTGTGGTTTACCTTAGACTCACCATTCATTTGTATTGTCTACTTGGCCCATGTTAGCAGATGTTTGCAATCTTTGTGAATCTCCAACCTAGGATTTGTGCCTAGTACCTGCTCAGTAATATTTGTTTTCTTCCTGCTACCACTTCTTATAGTTTATGTTTTATGTTGTCATAACTGAAATAATGTTTTCTTTGAAAACGCCTCACTTTAAAGTAGCCATTTGAAAACTGCCTGCTTGGCCAGGTGCATGCCTGTAATCCCAGCACTTGGGAGACTGAGGCAGGAGGATCACCTCGAGTTTGAGGCCAGTCTGGGCTATAAATTGAATTCAAAGCTAGCCTGAACTATATAGTGAGATCTTGTCTCAAACACAAGAACAAAAACTGCCTGCTTTTGTGACATGTGATATTTTAAAACATCATAGACTGCTTGGGATTGTTATTTTATTTAAATAACTCTTTCTCCCTTCTGAAGTTGGATGTTCCTGCAGTGTGGCCAAAGCCAAAAGTGTTTCTTGTTTTTTCTGTCAGCCCTTCCTCATGTTTCCATTGTGTCCAGCTTACGCCAATTCTTTGAGGCTTTGTACACTTAGGCAATCAGTTGCCAACTTACAAGTTAGACTTGTCATTTACATCAGTGTACTGATACCTAGGACTCTGAGATCTCCCACACACCCATCTCTGTCTCTGTCTTTGTCTCTCTCTGTCTCTCTCTCTCTCTCAATGAGTATTAAACCCAGGGTTTTATCTATTTCCCTGGTAGATTCTTCTCCTATCCTGTGCCATAGTTTTTTTTCACCCTTTGCTTAGTTATGTGGCACACTTCAAACTATAAGGACTTTATATGTTTTTTTTTTTGTACCGGGGATTGAACTCGGGTCCCTGTGCTTGCACAGCAGGCAGCGAAACCACTGAGCTAAATTCCCGGCAGGACTTTATATGTTTTATCTGATTTAATTTTGGAGCCCCAGGAGGTAGGCCTATTGTTATCCACGCTGTTTTTATTAATGAGAAACTAAGGCCCAGAGACAGTATCTTGCGCCAGAGCACAAATATAGTAGCAAAGACAGACTCTGAACTAGTGTCTTCTGATTCTTAAGCAGAGTCATCATTTTTATGCATACAAGAAATACATGCCGGGGCTGGGGATTTAGCTCAGTGGCACTGTTGCCTGCCTTGCAAGCTCAAGGTCCTGAGTTCGATCCCTGGTACCGCCAAAAAAAAGAAATACATGCTAGTAGAAGGTGCCATGTGAGAAATGTCAGATGAGTTCAGGTGTAACACAAGAACTATAATTTGTTGAAGGTCTGCCATTCATCCTCATACCCACCCAGTGAAATTAATGATGATAACCCCAATAAGTTAAGAAGCAGAGCTGAAGTCCAGACAGTTTCTGTGATTTTTTTTTTGAAGTTTTAAATCAAAGTATAATATACATAGAAAAAGGTGCAAATAAACTCACCAAGCTGGATGACTCTTTACAATGTGAACACACTTGTGTGGCTTATGTGTATTATCAGGACACAGACAATTGCTAACACTGAAATCTTCCTGTGGACACTCCTATATGGACAGCTGTTAAAGTTCTGTGGGTGGTTTGTTTTAAGGCCATGGATAACTGAGCCTCTGAATTACATCTTTAAAGTGCAGAGAAAAGTAGTTCCTACCCCCCCCATGGGTTCATTGTATATTATGCATACTAAGTGTTGTAACACAGCACGTGAAAAATGGATTGGCATATGGCAAATGTTCATTTTTCACTGATGTTGATATGATTCCTCAGAAGAAGTAGTTCAAAAGGTTTTTTGATAAGAGAAATGGACTCAGAATTTGACTATAGAACAGGCTAAAACAGACCAGTAGAGGAAAGAAGCTTGCCCTGAGGTCCTTAGAGAGACATTTATGTTGTGCTTTGGGGAACAATATATGTCAGAGCAGCTGGTCTGGAATGGTAATGGTGCAGGGCATACATGTAGGGCACTTGTAGAATTAAATTTGGAGAGCTTGGGAGATGTAAAAAGTTGATTTTGGAGATAACTGCAGGCTCAGGTATTTGTCTCGGTGCTAATATGTTAGCATTTAGAAAGCTTCTGAATATGTGTGGGTTGGGGTTAGTGGCATGCTAGCAGTATTTTAGATGTGTTTCTAGCTGCATATGCAGGAGCATTCAAGGTAGTGAGAAAGACTAAAGGCAGAAAGACAGTTGTGAGCTGAGAAAGCAGGTGAGTTGGGAGGCCTGATTGTTTCCCTCTTCCTAGTGCCAGGCACTGATGGATGTTTTTGCATAGTTGATCTTATAAAATCCCCACAGTATTTCCTTTTTTTTTGGTACCAGGGATCAAACTTGGGACCTTGTGCTTGCAAGGCAGGCGCCAGAACCACTGAGCTAAATCCCCGGCCCTCCCACAGTATTTCTGAAAGTAGATATTATTTGTCGTGCTCACTTCGGCAGCACATACACTAAAATCGGAATGATATTATTTGCAACTCTATGAATAAAGAAACTGAGGCTAGGGAGGTTATGAACATGTTCAAGATAAAATGGGAAATACATGGTAGAATCTGGTTTCTAGCCCAAGGTCTATAACACTGTAAAAGCCAACCTCTTGCCACTGCCACAGGACCTCACAAACTGCATCAGAATCCCAAAACAGGGCTGAGGGTGTGGCTCAGCGATGAGGCATTTGTCTACTGTGCATGAGGATGAGGCCCTGGGCTCCATCCCCAGCCCTGCAAAAAAAAAACCAGAAGCAGAATCTGACCGCACTGCCTAGCCCGGCACACCAGTGATCACCTGTAATCCCAGACTGACATGGGAGGGTCATGATTTTGAGGCCAGCCTGGCAACATAATGAGACCCTTATCTCAAAGAAAAAAGTTACTAGGTGAGAACTTTTTTTTTTTTTATGGTTTTTTTTTTTTTGGTACCGGGGATTGAACTCGGGTTGTTCCGCTTGTGAGGCAGGCGGCAGAACCACTGAGCTAAATCCCCAGCCCTAGGTGAGAACTTTAAAGGTTAGGATAGGTGTAGCATTTGTCTTTTAAATAAATACCTCAGATGATTGTGATAACAAAGGTATTCCTTGACTTTTTATGGGGGTACATCCTGATAAACCCGTCTTAAGACATAAATTGAAAATGCATTTAATGCATCTAACCTACCAAACATAGCTCGTGAACACAGTGCTGCATGGTAAAGTATCAGTTGTTTTCCCTCATGATTTCATAGCTGACTAGGAACTACAGCTCCTGCTTCTGCCTGGCATTAGAAAAGAGTAGCATACCACATCTGGCTAGCCTGGGGAAAAACCAAAATCCAAAGTGCACATCTCTTTAAAACCATCACAATTACTCCTGCCTCGAAAGTGCAAGGTCCCGAGTTCGATCCCTGGTACCACAAAAAACAATCACAATTAAAAAATTGTAAGCCAAGTTATTTTACGTCAGGGTCCACCTGAACAGTGAAGTTTGAGAACCACCAAGCCCCACCATCCTGCCTCTGGTGGTTTCCCCAAAAGTCCTCCACCCTCAGCAGGATTCTCATAGAGATGATGGCCCTGTTTCTTGAGCTTGGCAACGGTTCACAGCCAGCAGCTGAGTGCAGTTGTGCAGCCAGTCACCCATCTAAGCCTAAAAACTTGCTTAAAATTAAGCATATGCTCAGCCCCTGCCCTTTGGAATCAGAATCTTCGCATTAACACCCAAGTGATTTAGAGTCCAAGACGCAGCTCTGAAGCATAAGTTTGAAGTGTGATGGGACTATAATAACTTTATTTCATCAGGCTTCAGCAATCTGCAAGTAAAGAGTGATGCCAAAAGAAAGACCATAGAAAAATCTTATTTTTTGAATCCCTACTGTGTATCTCATGTTTTGTATAAATGTTTTTTGTGGTTTTTTTGGTATGGGGGATCTAACTCGGGACCTTGTGCTATGAGGCAAGTGGCAGAACCACTGAGCTAAATCCCCGGCTGATGTTTTGGTACTTTATTTCATTTATCCTCTCAAGGGCCCAGTGATATAGCCACTATCCTCATTTGACTGATGAGGAAACTAACTCAGAAATTAAGCAACTAACTCAATGTCATGTAGCTGTTAAGGGCCTTAGACAGGATTTAAGCCCATCCATGTTCTTTACAGCCTACCACAGGGGCTTCCATGCAGCCAGCAGGAAATGCAGGAAGTAGGCTTTTACATGCTACATCCCTATTGGTGTATGTTCTATATGCAGCTGTAGAATCCAATCACCTTGAATGATGTGTGAGAGTCCTGCAGTTCAGAGATGATGAAAATGGAACTGTCATATTCTCTGTGGCATTTTGGTCACCTTTTCCCATGAACAAACCCGATCTCCACATTGTTTGCCGAAGTTAATTTCAACAACCAAGTACAAAAGGCACTTGGTACAGAGGCAGCCTGGTTTTCTATTGCCAGAAGGTTTTGACTTTCATTGTTTTTCAAGGTGCAGAGTTTATGTTGTTTTATTTTTTTTGCAGTAGTATAGATGGATCTCAGAGCCTCACATCCCAAGCTCTCTATCACTAACCTATATCCTAGCCCTTTTTATATTTTGGGGGGATAGAATCTTGCTAAGTTGCCCAGGCTGGCCTTAAACTTGTGATCTTCCTCCCTCAGCTTCCCAAGTAGCTGGGATTTATTATAAACACGTGGCACCACACCCAACCCAAAGTATAGTTTTTAATGTCTTCCCATCTGGGTTCCATTTTGCTATGAAGTAATTTTTCTGCTTGAATTGAATCAGTCCGTGAATCATAAACCAGAATTTCCTCTACTGAGCCCCATCTATTTACTTTTATTGTGTACACCTAAGAAAACTCCCAGCAAAATGGTTTAAATGGTGATCCAAACCACTTACTTTCCAAAACAACTGAACCAGAAAGCTAAGTATTGAGCTCCTTGAACCAATTCAACTCCCTGTGAATTCTGCATTCTTTTTTGCCATATAAAATCAATGCTGAATTGTCTTTAGGATCTCTTTCTGTTCTGATTCTACCTTCTGATTTGTAATCCACCAAACTGTGAGCTCTTTGAGGACATAGTCTATCTTTCCTATTCCTCCGTGTCCTTGACTCCCAACTGCATTCTTTTTTTTTTTTGGTACCGGGGATCAAACTTGGGACCTCGCGCTTGCGAGGCAGGAGCTGGAACCAACCGCATTCTTGAAAGAGGCGTGAGAGGCGTGAGCAAATATTTTCTTTCAATATAAGTGAACGTGGAACTAAGACCAGTGTTACAGTAACAGCTGATGCTCACTGAGGATTCATTATGTGCTGGGCCTCACGTATGCCACATTCTATAGAATCTTCTCATCAACCCAGTGATATAGGTACAGTACTATCTCCATTTATTTAGAGGAAATTTGAAACCTGGAAAGGTAAAGTAACTTCACAAGTGATATATGTAATAATTGGTGGGCCTGGAGTCTGAAACTCAGGCAGTTTGACCTCCAGCGCATGTTCTTAACCAAATGGCTATACTGTCTCCTGAAACTAGTATGTAGGTGCTTACTGTTTGTTAAGTGCTGTGCTTATACATCTCATGTAAGCCTCACAGCCATCTTCTGACATGCCTTCGTGTTAAACAGATGAGAAAGCACTGGTTGTGAAAAGTTAAGTGATTTGGCCAATATAATGCAGCTACCTAGTGAGAAGGAAGGAAAGGAACCCAGTTCTTCACCCTGCCCCAGCTGCCAGGCCCAGTGGCTGCAGCATGTGACTCATCTATTCTTTTGGCAAATAGCACATTGTGTGCCAGGCATTGTGCCATGTGCTTTATAGATATATGATCTTAAACTTCACGATAGATTTATAAAGTGTTGATAATACTGCTATTTTTTTCTTCTTGTTTATAATAAGGAACTGAAGTGTCTATGTCATTAGTGTGTCCAGTGGAAGTAGTGATAATAGCTAATATTTATAATGACTTCTTGTATACTAGGTATACTCCTTTAAGTACAATACTTTACATATATTATCTCACATAATCTTTACCATAATCCTATAGTCATTTTATATGAGAACATAACATAAGGTACTTTTATCCCTGTTACAAGTAAATAAGGAAGAATTTGCCTGAGTTCACACAACCAGTAGGTGGCAAGACCAGGTTCACACCCAGGCATTCTGACTCTACCTTGGTTTTTTTCTTTCTCCACAGGCACCCAGATTAGCTGAAAACTTCTGCATCTGCCATTTGGCCACCGGGGACATGCTGAGGGCCATGGTAGCTTCTGGCTCAGAGCTGGGAAAAAAGCTGAAGGCAACTATGGACGCTGGGAAACTGGTAAGACGGATCACACCAGTGAGTGTTGATATTCCTCAGACTCTAGATCTAACTGTCCAGTATGGTACCCACCAGTCTACATGTGCCTATTTAGATTAATTTAAAATCCCTTTCTTCTAATCCGTAACTGATACCAGAAGCTCCCTGTTTCTGTTTCAAACAGTTGGCATATTCTGCATCCCTGGAACATATTAGAACTCTAATACATAGAAAAAATAATGTGGACATAAAATAAAATTTGATTTCCCCATTGCATTAGCTATATTTTAGGTATTCTGCCAACAAAAATATAGTACATCTCTATCATTATAAAACATTCTATGGGACAGCCCTGTGCTAAACTAGCAGATTATATGAACTTTTACAGTAACAAGTTCTTTCGTTTGTTCTGAATTTTTATTTATTTATTTATTTTTCGGTACCGGGGATCGAACTTGGGTCCTTGTGCTTGCGCAGCAAGCAGCAAAACCACTGAGCTAAATCCCCAGCCCGTTTGTTCTGAATTTTTGACAATTTATTCAGTGTTCTTAAATTTCTTTTGTGTTGATGCCTTTTAAAATATGCCCCAAGTTTAGGTCAAAAATACAACTGCCATCCCTAGGCCAAAACTCGGGGAGTATTCAGGAAAAGACTCAGAAGATCACAAAATGTTTTTTGTCTTTTATGGGATCAGTGTTCTGTGTCTTTAACAAGGTACTTACTTGGCATTTATAGCAAAGGAATCATCCTACTTGGGAGACATAATAGCATTTTCTCTTAGTTTTAGACTAAGTGATCTGATTGGACAGATACAACATATTATCTATTAAATCTTTAATTAGTACCAAAGCTTAATTATTCTGGAACTTGGCCTCTGGGGATCCCCTTCAGAAATTTTGTATTTGGTCTTCTTATCTTTTTATATATGAGAATATTGGTTGGGGAAGGTATAAGCTTTGCTTTCATCCCAAAGTTACCTCCTACTAGGCTTTGAGATAGTGTAGCTGCATTGAATAGTACCACTCACCTGCCCATTTCTTTCAAGCTTTCTTTTCATGTTAGTGATGCCTTGAGTCAAGCCAAAAAAAGTTAGATATTGTGGGCTTTGGGTCTTGGCAGAAAAAAAATGGGATGTGGCAATGATATTACTTATCTCTGGTCTTCACTTAGTCTTAAAGCTGATACTTTGTCCCCAGGTTCATAGCTGGTCCTGAAATATAAGAGCATTCATTGTCAAGATGGACAGCCTTTACTGTAATATAGGGTGGGAAGTCATCTTTCCATAGACTCAGGAAAAAAACCAGTTTTTAAACACTGGGCAAGGTCCTCACTGGGCTTTTTAGTCTCAAAAGTGAGACTGGACCAAGAGAGATTATGTAAAGGTGCAAATTTCCAATGAAGAATGTCATTATATTGTATACCTAAAATGTATCAATAAAATTAAATTTTAAAAAAAAGTGAGACTGGTTCTTTGGTTCCTTGTTTCTGACCCACTTTTGCCAATTCAGTAAGCTTCTCTGTTGCTTCATGTCCAGGATGGCCCAGATACGTGACCAAGCACATGTCTCAGGCTTAATTCTGTTAGCCTAATCAAAATTGTGAATCAGGATAGTTGGTGCCTTCCTGCATCCTGGTTAACCCCCATTCTCTCTTGGATCTCCCCAGTGATGTCTCAGCCTGTGCCCTCATCTTTCTTTCTTGAAGACAACTGATTGCTGATAAGTTCTGATATTTAGGACTCTGGCTCTAGTGACAAGAGAAGCCTTCAGAACATAAAACATGGAACTCTCCTGGTGGGGTGACAGGATGTGGAATCCCTCTTTTCTCACCCAGGTTATTAGAACACAGAAGAATTTCTCCTTTTTTTTTTTTTTTTTGATACTGGGGATCGAACTCGGTTGGGACCTTGTACTTGTGAGGCAGGTGCCGGAACCAGTGAGCTAAATCCCCAGCCCTGAACACAGAAGACTTTCGGGGGAAGAGAATATGTATATGGCAGGTACCATACAGAAATAGTTGTGAAACTAGGTCTTACAAATGGAGCCACTCTGTATTTGCTCATTTGTGCTTCTTTGGGATGTAGAAGACTTGCCAATACTAATAAAGTTGTACATACCCAAACCTTTGACCCTAGAGTTGGTGGTCTAAAGTCACCTACTTAACAGATTTAAACACAGGTTATTTTGTTCTTAACTTCCAGGTGAGTGATGAAATGGTAGTGGAGCTCATTGAGAAGAATTTGGAGACTCCTTCCTGCAAAAATGGCTTCCTTCTAGATGGCTTCCCTCGGACCGTGAGGCAGGCAGAAATGGTGAGTAGTTTAGTATTTGTATCACAATTGTATGTAAGCAAGCTCTGGCCCTTTATCTCTTAAATCTTTGAAGGAGATGGGAAGATGTGTTTGGTCAAGCTCTGGTAGTTTACGTGAATCACACACTTTTTTACAGCTTGATGACCTCATGAAAAGGAGGAAAGAGAAGCTTGATTCTGTGATTGAATTCTGCATCCCCGACTCCCTGCTAATTCGAAGAATCACTGGAAGGTATTTGTCCCTTGATGGTCTCATCTTTTCATGCTTCCTCTGGGCTTTGTCAGCCTGGGAGAATTGCTCTTGCGTAATCCCATACATAAAGCTTATTGCTGTTTCAAAATAGATTGATCTTATTTGCTGACATCCCTTGAACATGTGACCTGGGATAGGGATAGAGAAAGAAGAACAAGGGATTTGAGGTCTGACAGTATCTGAGTGTACGCTTATCTTTGACCCTAGGGCCGGGGATTTAGCTCAGTGGTTCCTCTGCCTGCCTCTCAAGTGGAAGGACCCAGTTCGATCCCGGGTACCAAAAAAAAAAAAGAAAAGAAAGCTGACCCTAGGCACATTTCTTAAGCTGTCTAAGGCTGTTGTCATATGTAGAAATGGGATAATAGGGGCTGGTGATTTAGCTCAGTGGTTTCACCGCCTGCTGCGCAAGCACAAGGACCCAAGTTTGATCCCTGGTACCAAAAAAAAAGAAATGGGATAATTGTACTTGCTTTGAGGAATTGTTGTGCATGTTAGATAACATAAAATATGTAGTCCAGAGCTTTGATTATGGTAGATGCTTAAGAAATGTTATATTCCTAATAGGTATATTTCTAGTTTAGTGCTTTTTTTCTAGGAATCTTCTGTTTGTTTGTTTGTTTATTTGTTTGTTTTGGTACGGGGGATCAAACTTGGGTCCTTGCGCTTGCAAGGCAGGCGGTGGAACCACTGAGCTAAATCCCTGGCCCCTAGTGCTTTTTTTCTAAATCTGATTTCAGTTGGAATCACCACATTTTGCTATAGGCTTTTTATTAATTATAAAAATAATTAATAAAACCCAGTCTCCAACAGTTCAAGAAGCTCTGTTCCCTTTAGGACTGTTTATCTAGCAAGCCATACTATTTCAGAGCTTTTTCTGATAGATCAGAATGATGGAGCCTCTCCCATAAGTGTTTGAAAAAAAACAAAATCCCATCAACTCATTCAGTTTAAACTGCCACAAAACCCATCACTCAACTGAGGCAAGTCTGTGTGGTTTTTGCAAAGTCACTATACTACCTTGCTTCTCCAGCCCTGGAGAACACCTCTGCCGTTCAGAGTTCCACTTCCCCAGAAAGCCATGGGGCCCGAGAGAAATGCTCCTAACTCTTCCATTAAAGCGCTCCTCTTCGTTCAAGTGGAAAGAAATCCTTTCTTCTGAGAAAAACCCCATCCTCCTTGAGTCGAGGCCGGTGCCCTCCACCAGAGGTCCCATGTTGGACCCCATACCTGGCCCTGCCGCCAGAGCTGTTAACATTTCCGTGAAGTCTGAGCTTTCATCTGACCTCAAGTTCCAGGTCCAGAGATCAAATCCAGGACCTGACTCCACCACTGAGCGCACTCTACACCTCAGCTTAGATATCCTCAAGAGAAGAGTTGTAACTTTGACCGACCCTAAATTATCCTGTGAGGCAAGAGTGTATTGTTGTTTTGTGCAAAGCTGTGTGACTGCTGGAATCAGACTTACTGCAAGCACATCGGGTTTCATTTATTTGTCAGTTCGGAAGTTGTTATCTGCTAGAATCCTGGACTTCCCTAAAGCAAGGGCTCTCAAAATGAGGGCACAGTCCAGGCGCCTCGCTTCATGGTGGAAATCATGGAGCCGGCCGCACGCCAGACCCCAGGTGCTCCAGGTGACACTCTCACCCACTGACTCGCCCACAGCCAGGCTGACCCCAGGAAAGGCCAGCGTGAAATTGCTCCTTCCCGTGTTCACGTGTGAGATCAGGCTGTCCAGTGAGTCAAATCTGTGAGTTCCCAAACGGCGCTGCATAAATTAAGGGGTTCCTGGGTTCCTCTTTGTGGTCCAGATCTCAGAACTCTTTATGCTGAAAGGATGCTGTTCTTTAATCTTACCACAAATTGGCCTTTGAAACAGCCAGTTTACCCAGCTCCAAACCACTCCTCAGACTTTGATTTTATTTTGTTTTATAAATGCCTTTCGTTTGTGTACACGGTGTGTTATAAAAATCCTCTAATTCATATGGATTTGGGAGAAACAGGGAAGCAGGAAATAGATCTTATTAATTCAAACAGGATTTTTTTTAAAAATAGAATTTTAGGGCCGCCGATTTAGCTCAGTAGCACCGCACCTGCCTTGCAAGCGCAAGATCCTGAGTTCGATCCCCAGTACCAAAAAAAAAAGAATTTGAGTTCCGGATGTAGTAGGTCGTGCCTGTAATCCTAGCACTTTGGAGGCTGAGGCAGGAAGAGTGACAGTTTGAGGCCACCCTGGGCTACATAGTGAGACTCTGTCTCGAATAAATGAATGAATGAATGATACAAATAGAATCTGATTGTTTTTCCCTGTCTATATGGCTTCTCGCTTGTCCTGTGTGCCTCTCCCCACCTGAAGGATTAGATTATAAATCCAGTTTTGAAATTTTACCCAGGAAAACATTAAGGCTTCAAAGAAGTGAACACCAGAAAACAAAACCTCTCCAGCACCTTCCATGTGAAATAATCCTGTTTCTTGTCTGTACTCCCGGTGTGAGGACAGGTCAGAAGCAACCCAAGGGACCAACTGTGCCCCCAGACTCCGGATGGCCCTGGGGAAGAGGACCCACACTCCCCACGGGGCTGGAGTGCAGGTGTGGGAGGAAAGTTGAACATATGAAAATGAATGTAAGAAATACACAATGAATAAAATATCAGAATGTTAAATAAAAACAATAAAAAAAATAATACCGCCATCTACATAAAGCTTTGGAAAATTTTCTTCATAGTCCAGCCACTTTATCACTTTGGGCTGTGTTTTGTTGTAAGGTGTTTCTCTGTAATAGTCAATGTCAAACACAGAAATGCTTCTGCTTCTGAACCAGTTTGTACTGAAAAACAGTTGCTGCTTTAGGCTGCAGTTTCCTCTACCCTATTTTATCAGTTACTCTGCCATCTGCTTCATGCCTTCCAGAAATATGTTGGAAGCTCTCAACCACTAGTGGACACTCTATTCTTTTCTTTATTGTGTGTAGCTTTTTTTATGACTCTATAATTTCTTAACAAAGCCTCAGGAAAGTGGTTAGCACATTATCTCCAACCAGACATCCATAAGCATTATTTTTCATTGTTATATGATATGTCACAATAGTAGGCAAACCATTCTTAAGTATTTCCTTATTTTTGTACATTTGTGTTTTATCTAATTAGCCACTGTTAAATTGATACTATGGCCATTATAGAGCATGTGAATTTGTGTGTTTTGTCTTGCTTTGCTCTGCTTTGTTTTTGTCGTTTGTTTGTGGTACTAGGGATTGAACTCAGGGCCTTCACAGTGAGCTACATCCCAGCCCCCTTTTTGTTTTGAGACAAGATCTTGCTAAATCGCCCAGCCTGGGCTCAAACTTGCAGTCTTCCTACCTCAGCCCACCAGAGTGCTGGGATTACAGGTGTGTGCCACTATGCCCTGCTCAATTTTTTTTTTTTTTTTTTGGTACCAGGGATTGAACTCGGGACCTTGGCACTTGCAAGGCAGGTGCCAGAACCACTGAGCTAAACCCCTGGCCCTGCCCTGCTCAATTTTTTAATTTAATTAGAAAGAAGATGTTTTCTAGGCTGTTATTTTGATTTCCTAACAGGATTGAACATTTTTTCCATTGTGGCAGTTATCCATACCTTTAAGGAATGAGGTATGCCGGTCGTGGTGGTGTATGCCTATAGTCATAGCTACATAGTTCATAGGGCTACATGGTTCAAGGCTGACTTGAACTATTATAGTGAAACCCTGTCTAAAAGAAAAAAGAGTAATGAGGCAGACATGTGAATAAAGCAGAGTGAGTATGACAGCTGTTACCCTGGAAGGCTGTATGAAATGCAGTCAGATCTACTTTATATTAATTTCTTTTCAAATGTCCAAGTTTCATGTCTCTAGCTATTCCAGAAGTTCCTGTAGTGCAAGGGCTTTTGTCTCTTTATCTCCTCATTTGCCACAGAGTAGGTAAATAAAATTGATTTAGGCCAAGAAGTGGTAGGGTGGATATTAAAGGATATCACCAGATTTGAGCTCCCTCAGGTGCAACGCAAATATTAACAGAATCGAGTGAAACTGGGCACCTTTGATTTGATGGGTCTGGAGTGCCTGCTTCTTACGTGGCACCCTAACCAGTGGCAGAAGACCAAGAGAGGCTCTAGAAGAACAGTACAGTGATGCACATCTCTGGCCTCAGAGAGTCATGTATGAAATCTGGGCTACTGTGACCATTTGGTGTAGCAAGAAGTTCAAGAAGAGATAAAGGAAAGGGAGGGAGCCTTCCCTCCCCTGGGAAAGGGAGGGGCAGCTTCTTAGGAAAAGACATAACACGACTCAGCCTTCCTGGATGAAGAAAATTTCAGTGAAACTTTCCCAGAAGGGAGTGAAAGCTAGAATGAGTGGGCTGGGAGAAGATAATGTCTTCCCAGAGCTGGAGGAGTGCTGTAGGGGCTGGAGGGCAGTATGAGGGCTGTTAGAAGACTGGCTAGAAGCTCACCAGGAGGTCTGCTGGGTAAAGAGGACAGACTTGACAGAGTCCAGGAGTCAAAGGATGTTCTTCAGCCACAGGGTAATAGGGCAAAAACAGCATTTTAAGGCCATTAGCTTGGTGCTGGCATAAAAGCTAAATTGAAGAGAGGAAAAACAGATAAGGACCCCATCTGGGAGTCTGCTCATGATCCATATGAAGCAATAGAAGCTTCTGACTGCTCAAGTGTTGAAGGAAACAGATTCTGGAGAACAAAATGCAAGATTGTGGTAGAGGGGCAGAAGGGGAAAGCTCGGTCCCTTGATTTGGAAGTGAGTGGCTTAGTGTTGACTCCCTCCCTCACAGAAAAGGGCCTGCTTTCTCAAAGTGCATGCCAGACTGGTGAAGGTGTTTTTCCAAGTTCACCTGACATATGAGGGGCTTTCTGCCTCCTCATGTGCTATGCTGGCAGCAGAAAGTGAGGCAGGTACCAGTCAGTTTTATGTGGCTCTGAAGTCTGAGCTAATAAGAAACTCAGATATAACAACAGTCTTCTGAATTTGCTGTGACCTCACTTCTAATCATTTTGAGTCATTTTGGGCTTGTTTGTTTGTTTGTTTGTTTTTGAGACAGGGTCTCACTTTGTAGTTCAGGCTTGCCCTAAACTCATGTAGCTGAGGCTGGCCTTGAACTTGGGGCAATCCTCCTGCCTCTGCCTGCCTCCCAAGTGCTGGGATTACAGGCATGAGCCACCACGCCCAGCATGTTTCTTGATTATATTATAGTTGGTGGTTTGGTTTTTTATTTGTTCAGTATTGGCTTTCTAGTATCCTAATTATCCTACCCTTTGACTCTGGCATTGTTATTCTAATGTCTAGTACCATCTCCATTTTGTGGGTGGGAAAATGGGTTTAAAGTGCTGTGCTGAAGGTAATAGTGACTGTAGAATCCCTGTCCTGATCACTTCTCACCTTCACCTCCACCTCTAGGCCAGGCCCAGTGGCTTATGGAACTGTTTTGTTTTGTTTTGTTTTGTTTGGTACCGGGGATTGAGCTCAGGTCCTTGCGCTTGCGCAGCAGGCCGCCAAACCACTGAGCTAAATCTTTGGCCCTTATGGAACTGTTTTGGTTGGAACTTGAGACCAATCCCATTTCACAAGTTTGAAGATTGAGCTTTCTTTCATTTACCTTCTAGAGAATAAGCCTTGTATTCCTCATAAAAACAGTATCTGTGAATGTGGAAAGAACAGTGTGTTATGTGCAATTGGGGCTGAGAGAATCTGGAAATTCATAAGCAGAGAGATGTGGATAGTGTAGAGAGCAATAGCATGGAGATAGCAGGCTGGCTGCTACGTGCCTTACGTTCTTCAGTAGATGAAGAAATTCCAGGGCCGGGGATTTAACTTAGTGTTTCCAGCGCTTGCCTCGAAAGCGAAAGCGGAAGGACCTGAGTTTGATCCCCCATACCAAAAAAAAAAGAAGAAGAAGAAATTCCATTGGTCAAGCTGGGTTCAGTGGCTCACAACTGTAATCCCAGCTACTTGGGAGACTAAGGCAGGAAGAAAATGAGTTTAAAACCAGCCTGGGTAACAGCAAGACCCTATCAGAAAAAGTAAAGAAAACAAGGTTAATTTAATATCTCTGTCTTCTCTTCCCCTTGGCATTTTGAATAAATCTTTGTTAAAGGCTTATCACATTTGCTTATCACAGTTTTCTGTTTCCACAGTTGTCTCCTCTAGTAAGCACTGCTTATGCACAAAGATCTCATCACTGCTTCCTAGCACCAGGTTTGGCTTAAGGCCCGAATCAAACTAGACCCTTCGGAGTGTTGGTAGAATAGAAGGGGTGGTTGTATGAGACCAGCACCAGCGTTCCTCTCAGGTTCTGAATTAGGTAGTTGTGTGAGCAAGCAGCTTACCTCTTCAGACCCTCATTATAATGTTTGATCAGCTTTAAAAAAAAAAAAAAATCCTCTGCCATTGGCATAAGCCTAGTTATTTTCCTAAGCAAGATCAGTTATTTTCCTAAACAAGAGGTGTGTATAGCTGGGTGAAAGTCTTTACATCCAGCTTCTGTCTCTGCTTGCCAGTCTGGAGTGCAGGGGGTACAGGTACTTTCAAGTAATCTGACTCATGTTCCTTTGCTGTCTTTCAGGCTGATTCACCCCAAGAGTGGCCGATCCTACCATGAGGAGTTCAACCCCCCAAAGGAGCCCATGAAAGATGATGTATGTGAACTCAGGACAGAAAATTTTCATTCTTCCCTCTTTCTGCCTTCATTCTTTGCTTTTTTTTTGGTACCAGGTATCAAACTCAGGACCTTTTGATTTCGAGGCAGGCGATGGAACCACCGAGCTAAATCCCCAGCCCAGCCTTCACTCTTTTCTTCTTTCTTTGTTCTTTGTTCTTTCCATCTTCCCTTTCATCAATATTACTGACTTCAAGGCAAATAGCACTATCAAGTAAGGCAGGTGGCCTATGACAGATCTGTACAGTGTTTCCCCAGGTAGTTTATTGCTTGGTCTCAAAGCAGCTGCCAGTGTCCAGACTGTAGAGCAGCCCCTATCTAGCATCATGCCCACCTAAGTGATAAATAATTGGGCAAAGGTTTCTGGGAAGCTCAGAATTAGCAGCAAGGTAGACCTGAAGAGAAGTTTGCTAACCAGTCCTGCTCTAGAATATCCTGCTGTACCCTGGGATCTTGTACATGGTCACAGTACCATATACTATAAGGAATCCATATGACCCATTTTAGGGTATGCAGGAAATAGTGAGAATTTCCTGGGTTTACTTTTGTCAGAGATAAGTTCATCGGGTTATCCAGGTTCTATAAATACAGATTTCAAAGCCATCACATAACAACTCAGTCACATTTCAAAAAATTGCTAATTTCTACCATTCAAATTCTTTTTCATTCTGCTTACCACTTGGTAGGTGGCACTGTAGTAATATGATAAATATTTAGGCAACTAAGACTAGTTATTGTGCTAGGCACGGTAGTGCCTGACTCTAATCCCACTTACTTGGAGGCTCAGGCAGAAGAATTGCAAGTACAAGGCCAGCCTGGGCTTTACAGCAAGACCTTTTTTTAAACAAAAAGATTACAATTGCTAATGTATCTGGATTGTTGTTTTGGTTTTTTTTGTACTGGGGATCGAACTCGGGACCTTGCACTAGCGAGGCAGGCGGTGGAACCATCCATCTCTGATTTTGATATATTCTCCTGGTCTCAAGTCAAGGTCCTCCATCTTCCTTGCTTCCGACCCTGGAAGTGTTCACCTTGGAAGCTGAACAGCCTGAGCACAGAGGTGTGAGAGAAAGGCATTGCCAGTTTTCCTCTCGTGAGCTCCTTATGGTTGCTGTTTCTGACGGTCTTCCTGGCTTCTCTGAATCAGCTGGTCTGCTTCTAAGAGTAGCCAGGTTCTTTACTGGAAAGGATCCATATTGTCTATCTTTGCCCCTGATGAACTGTGGGATCAAACAGCAACTCGGGCAGAGCAGTTCCATCTCAAACCTGCATCCACATAAGTAATGAGGCTTTGCAAATAGTTCCAGCCTTTCCTTCTCTTTTTGTTCTCAGATCACAGGGGAACCCTTGATCCGTAGATCAGATGATAATGAGAAAGCCTTGAAAACCCGCCTAGAGGCCTACCACACTCAGACTACCCCACTCGTGGACTACTACAAGAAACAAGGAATCCACTCTGCCATCGATGCCTCCCATACCCCTGATGTTGTGTTTGCAAGCATCCTAGCAGCCTTCTCCAAAGCCACATGTAAAGACTTGGTTATGTTTATCTAATGTTGGGTTCAAAAAGGAATCTTTCTCTTCTCATACCTGTTAAGGGAATGGCAGGCCAGGCAGAGAGAAGCTTCCTTCCTCAGGCTAGCAAGAATATCCTTTGATGTACTGATTAAAAAGCATTTGCTTGATGTATCTTTGGTGTGTGTGGAACTCTCATCTCATCTTTGTGTCTGTGTGTGGAAAAGTTTGTTCACTTCCTAATTTCTAAGTGGGGCTAGGTTGCTTTACCAACTTTTGTTTGTTTGTTTGTTTGTTTGTTTGTTTTTTGTTTTTTGAGACAAGGTTTTGGTCTTGCTCTGTAATTCAGGCTGGCCTTGAACTCACTATGTGGTCCAGGCTGGCCTCGAACTTGTGGCAGTTCTCCTGCCTCAGCCTCCTGACTGCTGGGATTACAGGTGTGTACCACCACACCCAGCTGCTTTACCAACTGTTTACTTTTTTAGCCATACTGTTAATTTTTGACCAAAATAAACTATCCCTGGTATCTGTTATAGACACCCCAGTTCCAAAGCCTCGGAGAACCTATCTCATCTCCAGCAGCTGATTTGAGGTCTAAGAATACATGAAATCAGACAGGGTCACAGTTCCTGATGCAGATTGTTGACTGGGAATTTCACTTGTTTTCAGTTTACAATGAAAAGCCACATGAGTCAGTGTGTAGACAGGGATCATTAATTTTTTTCACCCCTAAATGGAAGAAAACGGCACTTTTCTTACAGATTCCAGAAATTGCTGGGAGCTGGTATCACAGTATAAAGAGAATATTTTTTTGTAATCTGCATTTTGGTGCTATAAAGTAGGAATCATTTGGGACTTAGATTGTTGCCAAAGAATTGAAGCAGATAAAGGTGTTTTAGAATTCGGGTTGTCTTTTGAACATCCAGACTGGGCTGGGCACCTGGGAACAGCCAAATCCACTCCCCTGAAGAGAGACCAGGGAGGAGTTGATTGATTTTATTTTTAATGTTTGCTTTTGTTTCCAAGTGTAAACAAAACTATGATTTAGGGGTGATCTATTCTTGGATTCATTTTTATCAAAATGTATTCAAATCCAATCTTTCCAGGATATAAAACTCAAATCAGATATGTTCTCTTTAAACGAAAACTGTCTCCCTCCCAGATCCAATCCTTTACTCCTTATTTCCTGATGGTGGTAGCCACATACTCTCCAAGAAAAGATCACCCAAAAATAAGATCATCTGTGATAGTAACCAGCTTTTATTTGTAACCTTAGCTCCCCAGCTATTAAGCATTTTCTAGGGTCCATGCTATGCTTTTCGGTCTCTGGTTTGATTTGTGGCAAACAGATGAATTAATAGCTGCTGTGGAGAGACCACAAACCCTGCGGCTCTGGAAAAACCATTAGAAAGAGTGGAACATCCAGTAAGTAATGCCACCTGCCTTGGCATAAACCTACCGCTGACTTGGTGCAGTGGGTTTTAAAGTGCCTGGTCCCCATCTGACCTGAGTCCTCCTGCTGTCTGTGCGACTGACTACCAGAGGGCCTGTCCTCTGTGCACATGGAAACTGAGTGTGGGCGTGTGACCATCTTGCTTCCCTCTTTGCCCTGTCCAAGTGAGTGAGTGCCGCCTCTGCCCTGCCTTGTTCCCCAGCTCTGAGCTAGCTCCCCCCACTCTTCTCAAAAGGGAGTCTGGTTTTTGTGTGTTTCTGGGAAGCCCGTGACTGTTGGGAATAGGCAGGGGAGAGGAGTGAAACCAAAACTATCAGCTCTGCCTGTAGGAGTCTGGCATCCTCTAGATGAGAGTGGCCTTGTGAACCTTGGAGTAAACTCCCCTTTATTGGGATAGTCGCAGGCACTTGGCCTCAAAGCTGAGGTTCCTGAGTGTTTGCTAGTTAAATGTGCATGATCCTTGCCCAGATATTTGCCATCTGTCCACATACACTCACATGTGCATGTGATATTCCAGCTGCAGGTGAGAACTAGATCATGAGGGATACATATGCCCTACTGAGGTTGGTTAGGATTATGTTTTTGCTTCATTTAATTGCAGAGTGTTAACTTGGCAGGCATGAGAGCTTTCACCTGGCAGAGAAACATCCAGTGTTTAATGCAGTTGGTTGCTGGGGCACGCATGCCAGCCTTCTCTGATATTTACTTGGTTCTTAAAAACCCATTTTGTTCTCTCTTGTTTCCTCTCTATTTCAGCCTAGTAACAGAAGGCCAGGCGAGACTGCATCACTGCTCATCACCCCGCGGCGTGATCCCTGCTCTTAGGTGCTGGGCAGAGAGGAAGGGTGATCATGGGAAGGATGGAGAGGGGAGGGCTGGTGAGGGGCTCAAGAGGAGGATTTGGAAGACCAGCAGAGTTGTAATGAGCTGGTTGGGTTTTTTTAAACACATAAGTGGGAGTTTCAAAACTATAAGCAAAGGAGAAGATTTTTTTAAAACTATAATTAGAGGATGTGGGTACAAATAGGGAGATACAGTATTACTTCTAAGCAATTGGGTTTTTATTTATTCTGGACTGGTAACAATAATTTTTATAGACCTCAACTTTTATCTCAGAATCTCATAAGATACCAGGCCAAAAATGCAGGAAATGGAACTGTGGTTCTGTCTGTCTCATAGCTTGGAGTAGAGAGTTTGTTGACCATGGTTCCCCATACAATAAGATCAGAACATCATCTCCACATTTGAAAGAGATATGGGTGAATTCTCAGGGGTGGTGGCTCAGCAAATCAAGTTTACTGGAACCATGGGGGAGTGGGGGGACTGGCCTAACTCTTCCCCTGACTTACTGCTGATGTACCAGTCCATCTGGTCTCATAGCTAAGCTCTTAGTGTCTCCCAGCACACACCACAAGCCTGCAGTCTTCTTTCATCCATGGTGTGTGAAGGGACCCTTTGAAATAAATAAATAAGAGCTGAGGACATAACTCAGTGGTTCAGCACTTACCTACCATGTGCAAGGCCCTGGATTAGGCCTCCAGCACCCCAAAAATGTAACTAAATAAAAATAAATGAGCAAGTGTCCTAAGCCATATGCAAAATAATTGCCCTTTCCATCCTCAAATCCTGTGACTGGAATCATTTGACAGCACTATGTGATGTATTTTCAATGAGGTGCCTTTCTTAACTGACCAAATGCTGCCTTATTTGGTCCCTAAATCAATAAAGCATATGAAAAATTTTTATGCCCTGTTGTGGCTTTTTTTTTTTTTTTTTTTTTTTGAGGCAATCTGTGTTAGAAAAAATGACATTGAATTCTGGACCCTAGCACCCATGTGTCAGGGAGGTCAGAGCATGTGTTCCCAAGATAAACCTGCACCTTTGGGACCCCCAGTTCTTGTGCAGGCTTTTCTTGAGCCCAGAGACAAGGCAACTGTCTAGTCCAAGGCACTGTGCTTGGAGTCCAGGGAACTGAGGACAAGTTCCAGCCAATGAGTCATCTGCTCTGCTCATGTCTCCTAAATTTGAGTAAGGCCGATGATGCCACCTTCTCAGACCTACTGGCATTAAATGGAGTTTATAAGGAAAAGCTCTTGGCTTGGTGCCTAGCACATAACAAACACTAGATAAATGTTAGTTGGATCTGGATAGTCAAAAAAAAAAATCTTCCTGCTGAGCTGGATGGACATTTGTCCACTGCCAGTGCTTCTAATCCCTAAGCCAGTCTTTGGCTACCTTTTCAACTGCTTCAACACCTTTGGCTGCTTCTTTGTGTGCTCTAGTTTAAATCCATTTCCCCCCCAGCAAAAGTGAGCTTAAATCACTTGTCCAGACGGAAGCATTCATGTTTTTGGAAGGGTTGCCTCTGCCAGTGAGGTTTCTGAGAAATCACTGCTGTTTCCAGAATCAGAGGGAGCTGGGTTGAAAGCACTGCTGTTGTTCTCCAGGTGTCTTGTTACTGAGAGAGGCAGAGTCCACTGGCATCTTAAGTCCTGCTCCCTGCACCAGCTCCTCCCTCTTCCACTCCACTTCCCCATGTCAGCAGAGTCATTTTCAGGTGTGAGCATGACAGATTTGCTCTGATCTTTTCATTCCCTGAGCTTTTTAAATCCTCCACAGAAATTTTTTCCATTCCTTGATCATCATATGTCCAATTGGGAGGAAATATTTTTCAAACCAGTCTGAGAAGTACCTAGTATGATTGAAAAAAATAAACCAAGAAGAATGAGTGTGCTGTTACTCATTTGCTTCTCTGGACTTTGGTTTCCTCATTCCAAACCAAGATTGGATGGGAAGGGATCACTAGCACTCCTGGAGGACTAACAGCATGCCAGGTACTGGGCAGAGGCTTCACACCCTCGACTACTGACCCCCTCACAGAGGACACTGCATCAGAGCCTATGATATAGGCGAGGAAACCGAGACTTAGGTGAAGTAACATTCCTCATGTCGCATAGAAGCCAAGTCAGAACTCACGTGCCCACACCTTGGCCTTGTTGCTGAAGTGATTTAGTTGAGTTGTGCAACGCTGCAGGCAGGAAGAAACCTTCCAAATAACAGCCCTTTTTCATGGCCACTTGGTGCTAGACTGATCTTGAAGATGTCGCTGCCAGTTCTGAGGACTCAGAGTATGTGTCTTAGGATCTCTTATGTAGTGTGCCACTGACAGCAGAGCAAGATAAAGACCAACCTCAGGTGGCCGGGGATTTACCTCAGTGGTTTCTGCTGCCTGCTGCGCAAGTGCAAGGACCCAAGTTCAATCCCCAGTACAAAAAAAAAAAGACCAACCTCAGGAGCCTGACAGTCCTCAGAAGAAGAATATAGTAAGTGGGCCGGGGATTTAGCTCAGTGGTTTCACCGCCTGCTATGCAAGCTCAAAGACCCAAGTTCGATCCCCGGTACCAAAAAAAAAAAAAAAAAAGAATATAGTAAGTCAGAATACAGATTTCAACAGCAGCTCCTCCACCACAAGACTTGGACCACTTACCTCCCTTCATCACTAAAAGGGGGATAACCCCCTACCCTCAGGTGTGTTGACAGCTGTGGTGACGGAGGTGCTCATATAGGTAAGAATTACCAGTACACAGCAAGAGTTCAGGAAATGCTGATGGAATTCAGAGAAAAAAATGTAGACATTGATGAGAACTTTGAGTATCATACATCTGAGAAAGGCAGAACGAAAGCGCGGGCCTGTGTCTGTGGCTCCACATCCCAGCCTCATCAGTGCTGGGAAAGAGGAAATGTTCTCAGAGGCTCTCATGGTACAGAAAAACCTATGCCCCATGGATCAAATGAAAGGAGAAACACACAGGTGTGCTTTGTCACAGTGAAGGGCCTGAGTGGAGACCATTATCACAGGTAAAGCCTTTTTCTATATTATCCTCTCTGGCTTCTCTGCTACTGGGGTGCAGGATTTGCAAAGCTGGAGACCATCCCAGAGGGGAATGAGAGGAGTCAGTTGCCCCACCTCTGGTTCTGGAAAGGGTGGCAGCAGCAGAGTGTGTACACTGGCTCTGCTTCCGTCACTCCTGACTGCAGCTCCATGTGGTCATTGGCATTGGATTATTCATAACTCCAGAGGGAGCACTGCTTCTGATGTCTGGGGATGCAGCAGCTTTCCATTTAGTCCTCCAGGGAAGTGTGACATGAGCTTCCCCATAGGGGGCCTCTTCCACATGCCCCATCCTGGTTGAAGTGCACCAAGCAGGGCGGGTAGGGGGGTAAAAAGAAAGAATCAGAGGGCAAGACCAGCCTTAGGTCCTCTCTAGCTCACCCTCAGGCCTGCAAGCCAAACAGACATTGAAGTGGAGAAAAACATTCCATTGTGTGGTGTCCCTTAGATAAAAACTTTTAGGACAAATTGCTCTGAGCTCAGAGCAATTCTGTCTAGTTTGTGTTCTCTGTTTAGTTTGTCTCCATTCTTCTAGGTAAGGAATACTTCATTTTTCCATTTTGCTCTTAGTATGAAGAAACTGAGAACTAAGTCTAGTGTTCAACTGCTATGCTTTCCTCTGCCACAGATTCTTATTAAAATTCTTAGCCCACCCCAATCTGACTTGTTTTACATTTAGTGTTTTTGGGTTCATGTGTGTGTGTGGTAAACTACCCTGAGTCCATTTTGGAAAAGAAGGTGTACAGGAAGGGGGTGTACAGAACAGGCAGGATGGGGCTGTGCAGGGTTTGGGGGGGTGGGGGTGGACACAGGCCAACAGAAGGCACTGCCCAAGGAGTGGTACACAGACTTCTGTGCTCAGGGCTGCCCTAACCTAGTGAACTAGAGTTCTTGGGAAACCTAGATCTTACTGGAAATAGTGCTTTTCAAATAAAGTACAGGAACAATAGAAGCAAAGTTTTTTGGCTCATGAATAACGTCAAGAACTCGGATGAACAGAAGAGCAGGATATGAACACAGTTGATGGCCCACTGAAGTTTAGCCCAAGTACCATTCTTCCCTCTTCTAGCCATGCCACAGTCTGTGCTCTGACCAGAATTAGGTGATCCTTTACTATGGGACTGAAGAGGAGGAACCCCTCAGTTTTGTTGTCAGCTCTGTGGTCCAGTCGTGTCCTCAGTGGAGTGGGCATGGATTCCAAGGATGACAAAACCTGTGGTGAGATCTTGACACTGAGAGTAGCTCACTCTGTGTCTTGGGGGGGGGGGGGGATGACACTTAACCCTAAGCTTCAAGGAGCTCAACTCACTGGAAATTGAGGGTCATAGCACACATGTAGAAGGGCAGCCAATAGATTGAAAGCCCAATAAATGATTCTCTTTTCCCATGGCTACTAGGTATCTCAGGATAGGAATCTTCACCCATTCCTATTTCCCAGTTCCTTTTCCATTCCCCTTGGAGTACTCTACCAAACCAGAACAGGCTGCTAGTTAAAAAACACAGGTATAAGCTGGGCATGGTGGCACATGAATGTAAACCCAGCACTCAGGAGGCTGAGGAAAGAGGGTTGCTGTGAGTTTGAGGGCAGCCTGAACTGCATAGTGAGACCCTTTCTCAAACCAAAAAAAGAAATACGGGTATTTCCTGAGCTGCCAGGTATGCCCCTGGGTGGAGATGGGACTCACTTTTCCCCAGAGATGCCGATTCTGCTCAGTTTAGCAGGAGGAAGGTGTTCCTGACATGGCAGCCAACCCAGTCGTGATAGTCTTAGCACCGACAGAGCCCAAAACTCACTGAGAGTAGGACATTACATAGTTGAAGATGAGGGAACTGGAGCCACTACCAAAACCACACCTTGAGCTGGCAGTACCTGCTTGGGTTCCACAGATCTCTGATGGCTGCCTGCAGGAACTACCCTCCTTGGGGCCAACATTGGTGGGAGCAGGGAGTGGGGGGAGCACAAAAGTGCCTGATGAGAGAAATCTGTGTTCTTCAAATGCATGTGGCATCAGGGAGACACTGGAGTAGGCAGGAAGTCTTTAGTGAGAATTTGTCTCCAGTTTTAAGAACCTTTGAAAATTGCCCTGTATAAGGGAATGAGAGCAGTACCTGTCTCCTCATAAAGCAGGCCGGACAAGCAGTTCTATATCAGGTGCTTTAGTGGTGTCCAGGGTGCTCAGTAAGGGTTTGCTAGCTAGAAGCCTCTGGCTCAGTGATTCCAGTTTGTTCATACACCCTAAGGAAATGACTAGGTGAAGAAAGCATTTTTTTTTTATGATGGTAAGAACTGGAAACAACCTAAATTTCCAACAATAGGGGAGACTGTGATTCATTCATGGAATAGTATAGTATGCTACCATGAAATAATCATTTCAGGATGCACAATCTTCATGAGAAATCACTAGGTAAAAAAACAAAGGCTATAAAACAACACAGAAGCCAGGCATGGTGGCCCGTGCCTGTAATCACAGCAACGAGGGAGGCTGAGGCAAGAGGATGAAGAGTTCAAGGCCAGATCAGACAAGTCAGCAAAATCCTGTCTCAAACTAAAATAAATAAATAAAAAGGCCCGGAGATGTAGCTCAGTGGGACAGTGCCCTTGGGTGTGATCCCTAGAATCGCTGGGGTGCTCACTGCTTTTTTGCAGTACTGGAGACTGAACACACACTAGACAGGCACCCCTACCACTGAGCTACACTCCCCAGCCACGCAATGGGTTTATTTTTTTTAAGTAAACTTTTATTTTGAAATAATTCTAAGGTTACAGAAAAGTTCCAAAAGGAGTTTCTGTCTACACTTCACTTAGCTTCTCCTATTGTTGACGTCTTACATAAAGTATGTTTGTCACAAC